GGTTTGGGGCAAGAAGTGTTTAAGAGAAGCACGAAGCATTTTTATTATATCAGAGAGCAGTGAAGGTATTGAGTGTTGCTTGGTCATTGTAAAGGGCTTCCCGCTGTCAGAGATGGAAAAGTTTGAGCATCAAAAGGAATGAGCCCTGGCCGGGTGGCTCAGTTGGTTAGAGCATTGTCCTGATACACCAAGGGCACAGGTTCAACCCCATTCAGGGCACACACAGGAATCAGTGAAGGCATAAGTGACTGGGACAACAAATCGATGTTTCTGCCTCTCCCTCTCTCTCTAAAATAAATAAATAAATAGTATTTTTTTAAAAAAGAATAATGACTCACCTTGGCCAGCTGCTCAGTGGTTAGAGCGTCAGCCCTGCGCCAAAGAAGGGTCTTGGTCCAGGCACGGTCAAGAGGCTACTCATCCCTCCCCCTCTTTCTCTCTCCCTCCCTTCTTCCCCCCTCCCTTCTACTCTTAAAAATCAATGGAAAAAATATCCCCAGGTGAGGATTAACAAAATAAACGAACAACTTAACCATTACAACAGTGTTTTTCAAAGTATGTTTTCTAGACTGCATACTTCAAAATTATATTGGCTATATAAAAAGATTTCTAGGTACCACACCAGTCCTGGATACTCCCCAAAAATATATAAATTCATGCCCAGCCAGTGTTGCTCAGTGGTTGAGTGTTGACCCATGAACCAGGAGGTCACATGCTGGGGGCTGCAGGCTCCATCCCCAGTAGGGGGTACGCACCGTGCAGGAGGCAACCAATCAATGACTCTCTCATTGTTGATGTTTATCTCTCCCTCTCCCTTCCTCTCTGAAATCAATAAAAATATATTTAAATATATGTGTGTGTGTGTATATATTCTTGGGCCCCTTGCAACAATCTACAATATGGCAGAAACTCCGGGAGTAAGTCTCAGTAATCTGTTTTAACAAGTCCTGTAAGAGTTCTGATGAATACTTGAGCTTTAGAACCATATTCGGAGAGTGATGAGAATCTTTAATTGAAAGATCAATCTGTCATTCTCAGAATTCATTGATCAATCTTAGCATCCCTAAAAGTAGGAGAACCACATCTTATATTCCTCCTAGTAAAAGCGTCTATGACATATTCTTTCCACCCTCCAAAAAAATTAAACCTGAATCTATTCTATTCTTGATATTTGAATTCCAATTCATAGGAAATACAGGAGATAGAAAAATAAGTTAAACAATATTATAGAGAAGCAAAGGACAAATCCAGAATGTAGGACAGCCCGTCCAGTTTCTTCAGTAATTCAGTGACATGGGAAAAGTGGGGAGGGGAGGGGAACTTTTCCAGAATAAAAGAATTCCAAAGACAAAATAAGTAATTGTGCCCAGCCAGCATGGCTCAGTGGTTGAGCATCAACCTAGGATCTGGGAGATCACAGTTCGATTCCCGGTCAGGGCACATGCCCAGGTTGTGGACTCAATCCTCAGTCAGGAGCGTGCAGGAGGCAGCCGATCAATGACTCTCTCATCATTGATGTTTCTATCTCTCTCTCTCCCTCTCCCTTCCTCTCTGAAATCAATAAAGATATATTTTAAAAATAAGTAAATAAATAAGCGGTTGCAAAATGTACATCTTGTTTGGATCCTGATTCAAATTGCCCACTGGGGAAATTTGAGTTCAAACTGTGTATTAGGTGAAATTAAGGAATTGTTTATTTTGTTAGGTATAATAATGGTATTGTGGTTATGTAAGAAAATGGTGGTAGTGTTTTTTAGAGATACATACAAAAGTAGGGTGAAACAAAAATATGTCAAGATTTACTTTAGGTTACTACAGCAAAAGAAAAGAAAGAAGGATTAAAAGGAAAAAAGAAATGAAGCAAGTATGGCAAAATTTTGAGAACTCTTGAGTCTTGGGGATTCATTATCCTATTTTATCTACTTTCATATATATTTGAGACTTTCATAATAAAAAATTTTAAATGATCCTCAAAAATGTATTTATTAGGATGTATTTATTCCTGTTCTAGCCTTTATCACGGCGTATGGTAATTGCCTGTACAGTTGTCTGTATCAGTATTTCTCAAACTCAGTATTGAAAGACCAATTTTTTCGTTGCCCAATCTGTCACATGCCATGACTTTTGTAATATACAATAAAAACCAATTACCAGGGAAACAACATGGGGAGTGGGGGGAAGGACATACAAAATATAACTGTAAAAAGTTTTGTTTAATTAAAGTCAACAAGCATAAAATTACATTTCACTTAACAATCAGTACAAATGCAAACTCAGGAGAAAAACAATTTTTGGGAAACGGTATCCATTCATCAAAAATACATAGGCCATGAGTGTAGAGAAGTGCTGTGGTGCTCATAAGTTTCTTCTGTAACCACAGTTAGTTACGTTGCTAAAGTGAAACATGGGTGTGCTCTTTGCAGCGTTAACTTGTGGTCCTTGTTTGTTAACCAGAGCTTGGATTGATAGCAGTGCCCTTCGCTGAGGATGGTGTATACCTAAACTGGTTTTATTGGCAGCCACAGGTTTTTGCCTCAGTTCCTTCTGTTACTGTTTGGAGGCTGCCTACACTGCAGAAATCATAAAGAATGGAAGAGATGATAGATAGACTGTAATACTCGCCCAGATTTTTGCTTAAGGGGTGAAAATACCACTTCTTTAAATAGTTGGCCTCTTACTCTCTGGACTGCAGATGTCATTTTTCTCACACTTTGTTACGTATTTGTTGACGTGATGACTGTGGCTTTACATGATAATTTTAGGTTCATGTGTACTGTGCCCTTGTTTTTCAGACAGTACCCTTCTTGCCGAGCTTCAAAGCTTTTCCTTCCCCGGGGCTGTGGTGGTGCCAGTTTTGACTGCTTCTTCAAAAAATATCAATTGCTGTAGATTGTGTTATGCTTCCCAGGACTCATTTTGTAGGCAACAGTTTGGACTCTTTTTCCATATATATTAACCTGTACTTGTTCACATTGGATCTGTTAGGTTTGTCTGTGTTGCCAAAATTTCAAAAATCTTTTCCACCGATGCACATTAAGTCAGCATTTTCAACAGGAAGAAATTTTGTCGCCTGGGAAGCCAGTCATTTGTCTATGAAATGACTGCCTCACTTAGTGATACAATTTTATAGCTAAATGTAAAGCCTGAATTTGGTGTGGAATCATAGGAAAGATACTACGAACTAGCCAAAAGAGATTCCCTCGCAGAAAACGTTGCACTCTCTCGCTAAGTTTGTGCACCCCACCACCACCACCACCGACCCTTCACTGTGGATTTCCCAGCTAAACCCGTATAGAAGGGGGCTCAGGTTTACTCAGGAACAGAAAGCACATTGTCCACTCGCCAGTTTACTGAGACATAGCTTGGACACTCTGACCGAAAATTCTGCATGTTTGTTCTTAAGTAACCCTTTCCCCTTTCAGAATTGTGGACACTGCCACGTGGGCTCTGTAAGGGCAAAGGGCAGGCGTGACGAGCTGATGGTCTGTGTGTGATGCTGGCAGAGGTGGAAGGATATACAAAATGCCCACCTAATGTACAGCCTGAACTTGTGGAGTATGACACCGCTGCTCCGCATCTTGGAATGCTGTTGGTGGGAAGGCTCGTAGCAGCGTCCAGGATAAGGCCTTACTGAGCAGCTGTTTAGTACCTGGCGCCGTGGGGGTGCAGGGCGGGTGGTGTGACCCTGGCCCGGGCAGCTCGAATGAAGGCATCTTATTTTCTGAAGCACAGTGTGTTAGAAGTGGGGCCGTGTGTGTATCCAAACACGAACACGGGCTATTTATGATATATATGCAGATAATTAAAGTGTGAGGTGTCGTGTTATAAGTGAGGAGTTCAGAGAAGAGGGATTTGAAGTGATTTATTTCTATTTGAAGTGAGGGGGGACTGCTTAAGATCAAAGTGGCATTTGAGTCGGGTTTTGAAAGGATGGTTAGGATTTCAGCAGGAGTGTAGTAAAGAAGCAGCTTGATATAGTAAAATTCAACGTTTCTAGTTCCCGATCAGCCATTCACTACTAATTCAGCCAGATAGCTTAATTGCTCTGATCTTCAGCTTCCTCAAATATAAAGTAGAAATTAGAGTAATAGTTATCATAGAGAAGTTTAAGAAGACTAAGTGAGATACTGTGACATGAACATGCTTTATATACTGTAAAGGGCTGTACGAGTACTAGTCAATTTCGTAGTAAATACTGAGGATCACATGAGCCAAAGGCATGGAATTTGAAAACAGTAAACCAATCAACTAGAGCTGAAAACAGGTGCAAGGTGCTGTGGCCAGTTCCTTACTTGGGGAAATAAATAGAAAAAGCTGTCATAATTTATATTGCCTTCTTTCCCTCAAAAGATCATTTCAAAGGCCATTAATAGAGATTATAACATTGCTCAACGATAGCTCATTTGTCTTGCAAAGTATATATTTTTAGACACAGTGCCTCTCTTATAGGAGTGTTTGGTTTCAGGAGCAAGTCTGCATATTCTTGGGTAGATGCGAATTACTCCTTTGAACAAGAAAACGGAGTAATTATTTAAGCTACTTCCAGGGACCACCGTGTCTCATGTTACAGGTGGTTTGTATAATAACTGCATAAAATGATTTTTTATAAGAAAGCTAACTTTGTCTCATTGCATATCAGAGAAGTGATTCATGTTCTTTGTTTTACATAAATTTTATTCTTTAAATGTAGTTAGGAATAGTCAATATTCAGTAAATTTTTCAAGAAAAGAAGGAGTGCTTGGGCATAAAATGCATTTTGAGTTGTACTATGAATATTGTGCCATTTGCTATGGTCTGGTCTTGGACTGTCTTTGTTTTTCTGGACTGTAGTAAAATATGATTGGAATTACTTTTCTTAAGGCAAGAAACCTGGAAAACTGCGTGGTCTTTGAGCACTAACCTTTGGTCATATAAAAGTTTTTTGAGGAGAAAAATCCCAAATCCTAACAGTTGAGTCATTTTATTTTGGTGAATATTCTAAATTCTCTCTTCTTTTACAGACTATCTTGCTAATCATGGCCGGTTAAATGAGTCTGAGGCCAGGCGCAAATTCTGGCAAATCCTATCTGCTGTCGATTACTGTCACAGTCAGAAGATTGTGCACCGTGACCTCAAGGCTGAAAATCTCCTGCTGGATAACAACATGAATATCAAAATAGCAGGTAACTGGGACACCGCTGGCTCTGACGTGATTGTGAGCTCTTGTGCTGGGTATTTGCAGAAAAAGAACTGCAGGCAGAGATTTGTAGCATTTCTACTGATGACATCAGACTTTCTCAAAGAACAAGTGTGTTTCATTCATTTCCTTAGATCTATGTGCAATGCAAAGTAAGGGAAATCGGTTCATTATTAATGTGCACAGTGGCAGGGCTATGGCTGATGTCTCATTTGTATCCTTGGTCTGATTTGTGTCTGGGTCAGTTTGTGGGGCTCTGCCGGAGGAGGAGGGCTGATAGGTCTAGAGCCGCAGTGCCGGTTGCTGGGGTTGGTGGCTACAGTGAGGTTACAGGCAGGAAAAAGAAAAGGGAGGACTGTGGGTTGATACAGGAGGAGCAGGTAGGCAAAGATGAGAATGTGAAGGGTCTTGAGTGCCATGAAGAAGATTCTAGAGTTTATTTTGTGGGTCATAAGGAGTCTAGCCTATTGAAAACTTTTGAGTGGGGGTAAGGGTGAAGTGGGATTGGGATGGCAGTTAGATTTGCAAGTTAGAACGATGTGTGTCTGGCAGCAGAGTAAAGACATGTGGGACGTGAATAAGACTGAAGACAGGAAGATTAATGAGGGCTCCACTGCATAGTCCAGTCAAGAAAATGGGGATCTGAACTGGAGCCGGAGCAGGAGAGATTGCAGGGTGGGGCAGAGGGAGGAAGGGAGATTTATGTGGGTAGGGTTTTGAAGAAGGGAAGGGGCATGAAGCACAAGCTTAGCAAAATTGCAAGTGCTGGTGTTTTGTTCTAGGATTATGAAAGAGGAACAGGGACCTTCAGATGAGTGGAGCTGGCCAAGAAATTATTGGTTGACCAGCTAGGTTAGATATTCACTAGAGAAAATTTAGGGAGAAAACTCCTTGGGGTATAAAATAGAAGTTAAAAGCCTCTGATTTGTTCATTTAACTGGTCTGTGTTCATGCCATTTCCCATTAGTTTTTATCCTGAGCATTTTGAGGAAGGTAAATAATTAATTTTTACTTACTTTACTTTAACTTTATGTACTTTTACTTTAATTTTAATAATTAATTTTAAATGCCAATGCTACATATGTTACAGGGAGGTAATGGGTTTCCATTCTGTCTGTGGTTTTTGATAATGGGATTGCTGAATGAGACAGTGTTTGGTAAGACAGAGCTGATTGCTACGTTCCCATTATATATAAAGATCTCTATTGATTTGTCATTTCATTTTGAAAATACAATCCACCTGGTTAGTGTTGCGCCGCTACTTACGTATGTTCACATCTCCCATCCCTGTGTGTTCTCCCTCATTCCCTTTACTCCTTTCTGCTGACCTTCTGTAACGCACGTCCCGTCCCGGGATTTCTGTTTACTTCTCCTCCACCGCAGCTGCTGCCCTCAGACGGCCCTCTTCAGAGAAGGGCCTTGTTTTCTGAAGTCCTTGCCCCTGTAGAAAGAAGAGGGAAACCCTCGCTTCACCTTTGCATTCATTTATCACCAAAACAAAAAATCCACAAGACAGTACCTCGGAGGAGTTTTGGGAGTGTTTTCAGGCAGAGAAAGGTTAGAGGTGTGAGTCATGTGCTCTAGGAATTACACAGTGCTCTGTCACGAACTCCTCGAAGGGAAATGTCCAGGTAGAACCAAAGAAACTTGCAAATGACGTACTCATTTTGCCTGGCTGTCATGTGTCTACTAGGATACAGGAATATCGGTAGTAAACTCAGTATTTCTAATGTCATTATGAGATTGCTAGTTTTTTGTTTGTTTTTGCTGGTTTTAGTTTTGTTTTTTAATATCTAAACTTCGAGGCCTTCTAGTTTTTATCTAGAAGACAGGTAAAATGTCTAAGACCTGAAGTGTTCTCTCTGGTTAAGCTGGTATAACAGCTAAACATTTATTGAGCCTTCACTGTTTTCGGGTACTCTGCTAGGTACTTTACCATTTAATCTTCACAGCAACCCTAAGAGCTGCATAGCTCTTGCCAGTTTTTAGATGAGAAAGATGAAATAAAAAAAGATTAAATAACTTTCTAAGGTGACTCAGACAATAAGTAGCAGACCTGGAATTCAAGCCTAGGTCTCTCTGACCACAGTGTGTGTTTCTTCCACTGCACCATGTTGTCATTTCCAAGCGTTTTTGCCAGTTCCATCATTCTGCATTTATACATTTAGTGTCCTTGATTCCTTGCCACACAAGTATAGACACACACTGTATCTAAGCACTCACATATCTTCTTGCCCACACTTTTTTGTCATCCTCACCACCATTTACTACAAATTTTAGTAAATGTTTAATTATGCATCTACTATGCTCCTAAGCTAAATTTTAGAGACACAAATATTTCCAGACAAAATGGCAGCAGTGCAAAAACACTGCTCTCACCTCTAGGAGTTAATCCAGAACCAGACCTTCAAGTCACTGTAATACAAAGCGATAGTTGTAAAGGCAAGGAGAAAGACTGGCCCTGCCATCTGTGGTGGGATAGTGGGAGTGGGTTGAGGGGGTAAGGTACAGATGGCAGCTCCAGCGACGTGGATCTGCATGCGCAAAGGCAGGCCGGCCAGAAAACTCAAAGTACGTAGGGAAACTGCAGAGCAGAGCTAGTGGGACATAGGTGCCCCTGAGGAATAATAGGAAAAGAGCCTGTACAGGTAGGCAGAGCCAGATCGGGAAGGATTCCGCATGCCATCAAAGCTTAGATGTGCTCCAGTGCTATGAAAGAATTTCTCCCGTAAATTTATGTCTTCCCACAGATTTTATAACTTTTTTATGGCCCTGCTTTATTTTAAAAACATCGTCTTCTGATTTCAGAGGATTCTTTTTAAATTTTAAAGAAAGTAGGAAAGATGGGGCTCCATGGAAAAACTACAAGAACCCAGAATAAAATATGAAGTTATTTCCTCAATCTCTGTTTATTCTACTTGTGAAGATCTCTTTAATTGCTAAAAAGGCTGGATAAATGAACTGTTTTAGCCATCTTGTGTGTTGAAATTGAAGAGAAGTGCAAACCAGAACTAGGTTTAAATTAAACTATTTGTCTCTGTTTATAAAACAGAAAATGACATAGTTCATTTTAATAAATACAGAAACATAGCTTTGAAATCAGCGTCTACTTTATGCTCCTCCAGTGGACAAAGTCGCCAGACACTGATGGGCCGTGGGCTCATCCACGCCAGCGTGTGCTCGGCGCCTGTCATGAGACCTGCAGCCTTCACAAAATCCCAGTGTCAGGGCGCTCGGAGGGGGCGGCAGAATGCGAAGAAACACTGCCTTTCTTTCGTATCAGTGTTGCAGCACTCTTTCCTCCTGGCTATTTTTGCTATGATTATTTAGGCATAAAGTTGGGAATGAATAGGTGAAGGACGTTTCGTTTTATTATTTAACTTTCCTAATCTAAAATGTTTACAATAAATACTTAGATAAGGATTAAAATGTATCAATTACCCAGAGGAAGCTTCACAAATATCAGAGTTCAAACAAGGCTTCACATAAAGAATGTGGAGTTTGAGACCAGACAGCACAGGTGCAAATTCTGGCTGTGTTACCTTGGGCTGATTATTTAAACTCACGGAGTCTAGGTTTCCATATCCGTTAGGCGAGATTACTCTGTTCCTCGGGAACATCATAAGGATTAGTGATAACGCTGGAGACAGTGAGGGTGGTAGATAAGAGCATGGGCCCCGCAGCCAGGCTGCCTGGGTTTGAGTCCTGGCTCTGGCACACTTACTAGCTGCGTGACCTTGAACACGTTACCTAACTTCTCTGTCCTCAGTTTCCTTATCTGTAAAGAGGAATGACAGAAGTTCGTATCTCGTAGTGGTTACTGGTTAATATTTGTAAAATACTTAGAGCAGTACCTGGTACATAGTGCTATTTAAGTGTTAAATAGTTACTGGCATCATGTAACACTCAATTAAAGGTAGCTGTTATTTATATTCAATCTGTAATTGAGTCCATGCGAAACCTGAAATTTTTGATAGCCATATAAACCCCCCCTTGTGTTGTGTTTTTTCATTACCAGGTCCTTAAAGCCTTATTAATACAAATCTCAGAGGAACAAGGAAAGTTTATCATTTATATTCTAAATTATCTCTGCTTGATGCAATTAAATTTTTTCCCGAGAGACCTTCAGTGTAATTAGTAATGTGTAATGAGCCTCATTAATCTGACCTGTGCATTACAAGTCCCTTGTCTTTGGCCAAAGACCAGTGCTTCCTTTCTGAGTTGACCCATGATCTCTGAGTGGCCCATCATCTTCCATTATTGCTTCTAACAGTCTTCCTGCTCACTAGAAGGCCTTGAGACAGGGTTTCTGTAAATAAAATTGCAGTTTTATGCCCTGGAACCAAAAAAGAGTTGGGGAGCCTGAGGCAGATTTCATTGGTAAAATATTTATTAAAAGTCTTCCATTCGTCATCCTCCTGCCACTAGTATTAGGTAAAATGTAAAACCACTTTGCCTGAGCAAGCCCAGTGAAACTGCGTCTTTTTCCTGCAGGCCCTTAGCCCCAGCAGCACATCAAGCCTGGAGTATGGAAGAGGGCTCACAGGGTTTTGTTTCATTTTGTTTTGGTTTTCCCCCATCTCCCTCCCCACTCCATTTTGGGCTAAGGAAGATAATTTATTTGCTTCTTAGCTCACTGAACTCTCTCATTGGACAAATAGATGTCTCACACTGCTCAGCAAGATCGCATTTCATCTCAGCTGCGGTGATTGTTTTTGTGCCCTCCTGTCAGGTGGGGATGGAGTGACTGATGTTTGGAAGTCACCTATGCAGCTGGCCTTTTCTTGCTGGTGGGCAACAAAGTGTGCATTGACGTCAGTGTTGCCTGATGGCTGTTCAGTTTGTGCAATGGGTCGGCTTCAACTCTTACCACTCGCCTCCTTTCAGTTGTCAGCTTTCATTTCCTCATCATTGTCGTCTTCATTCCTATTATAATAGTTACAAAGAAAGTGTAACTCTTCAGCGAGACTGTATATCTGAATTCTA